CGCCTTGCCCGATGAGGGATTAAAGTGCATTTTGCTGCAGTGCAATTCCTACGTGGTGGAAATGAGCAATCGGTGTCACATAGGAGGCATTGTAAATGTGCGGACGGTACAGTTAGTATGTGAAGATTTTCAAAAAATGACTTAGCATGAGGTGCGTGATTAACTTTGCATATTTCTCTAATGATGCGTTTTTGTCTAAATCCATACCGTATGTTGGACAAGATGCTACAATTTCATCGAACAAAAAAACGGCGTCAGCGATGGTAATGAAATGAAGATTCATTTCGTCATTTTATACCGGGTGCATCTCAAAAGTGGCTGACCCCCTATAACTTTTTTATTTTTTCAGATAAAAAACGAGATTTGGTATGTTAGTAGATGACATAAATTAGGATTGATCGACGTATTCAACTGTTTTTGGTCACCTCCTGTTTCACCGGAAATGACTACAACTTTTGATTTTTAAATGGCTCCCTCGATATTTTTATATTTTATTTGATAAAAAATTATATTCTGAATAGAATGACATAATATCATATGTCAACTTTTGACATTCCCGCTTAATAAAAAATCGTATTTTAAAATTCAATCTAGAGTGCTATGTTAAAAATACTAATTCTTAATCAAGAAGCCATGGTAAAATAGATTTGATCGTCTAAAGTTTTTAGTGTCTTGTCCAGGCCAGTTAGAAAATGCTCAAATCGTATTTTTAATCATAACTCAATTTTTTCAAATGGAACGAGGGTGGCTCATTAGTATATTTGGAACAAGCATTTTTTTACGAATAATTTGATACCACACACTTGGTATTTCGAGTGAAATTTTCGTTGCAAACCGCAAGATATAATTTTAAATAAACCATATGCAAAAATGTCAAAATTGACATATGATATGATGTCATTCTATTCAGAATGTCATTTTCTACCGAATAAAGTAAAAAAAATACCGAGGGTGCTATTTAAAAATCAAAAGTTGTAGTCGTTTCCAGTGAAACAAGAAGTGACTAAAAACAAGTGAATACGTCACTCAATCCTAATTTATGTCATATACTAACATACCAAATCTCGTTTTTTTAACTAAAAAAATAAAAAAGTTATAGGGTGAGTCACTGTTGAGACGCACCCGGTATATCGGGTAGCGCACCTTATTCGCTTCGGTTAATTATACAAAAACGGAAAGATATAGAGGGTTGTTCACCACATACGACACAGAGTATTGTAGCTAAACGATTAGATTTTTACAAACGTAAGTTTTGGGTTCGTTGAAGGACTATTAGACCTAAAATTTAAAAATATTTTTACAAGATACAGAGTGTCCCAAATAAATAAAAAATATCAAAGTTGTATTTTTTTAAATAGAACACCCTGTATATTATTACATTTTTAGTTTCTACGATTAAAATAAAGATAAATTTGATCAGGGTTTATCACACTTAAACCGCACCGTTTATGAGATATTTTCAATTTTGCGAAATTGCAGTATAAATTTTAAGGCTTCATTTCTCCGAGGATATCAAAGTTTTTAATACTAAATATTTACTGAAGTTTATTTATTGATCAGTTATTGTGTTGCAATAATAAAAATTATACTACTGTATACAGAGTGTCTAAAAATTTATTTTAAATAATTACTAGCTTTAAACGGCAATAACTTATTTAATTTAAATAGAACACCCTGTATATTTTATGAGAATCCGATGCACAATTTAATTGTCTATCAAATTGTATTATACCGTGGTTCTTACCTATTCCTTCAAGTTTTCGTAGAAAATGCATTTTCTTATAATTTAGACCTCATTTATCAATATACCCATGGAATATTGACATTTTATATTGTTTTTAAAACAACAAATGTACAAAATGTACAGGCTAGTAATATTATCGTTTTTAGTAAAACGATAATATTACTAGCCCATTTATATGCAAAAAGAAAACTATTTAAATCTTTGTAAAAGAGTATACCATTAATTAAATATACCACCAGTATTTCCGCCCAAATACTAATTAACTACATACTTAATTGTGTTCGTAAATAAATTATTCTAAATAAGTGTGGATTTGAATCAGAAATCAATATAATAATAAGTTATGAAAATGAACGTCTCTATTGTTATAAATAAGCATTTGTCAAAAAATTAAATATCATTTTTAAGGTGTTACTTTTTACCACACTGTCTAATATACATACATAATTCAGTTTTTTAGTATTTGGAGCAATTATTATTAATCAACGCAAACAGTCAATTAATGTAGTTTGAATACTGGAATCATATTAATTGGTCCTCTTTAACAAATATTTAAACAATTTTTTATGTTTTTTAATGAAATAAACGAACTATATCGACAATATTAGTATCTGTACTCTTTAAAAATTTAGTACATCTTTAAAAATAATCTAAAATGTCAGTATTCCATGGGTATATTGATAAATGAGTTCTAAATTACAAGAAAATGCATTTTCTACGGAAACTTGAAGAGATAGGTAAAAAATGGTATAATACAATTTGATAGACAATTAAATTGTGCATCTGATTCTCATAAAATATACAGGGTGTTCCATTTAAATTAAACAAGTTATTGCCGTTTAAAACTAGTAATTATTTAAAATAAATTTTTAGACACTCTGTATAAGGTAGTAAAGTTTTTATTATTGCAACACAATAACTGATCAATAAATAAACTTCAGTAAATATTTAGTATTAAAAACTTTGATACCCTCGGAGAAATGAAGCCCTAAAATTTATACTGCAGTTTCACAAAATTGAAAATATTTCAAAAACGGTAAGGTTTAAGTGTAATAAACCTTAATCAAATTTACCTTTATTTTAATCGTAGAAACTAAAAATGTAATAATATATAGGGTGTTCCGTTTAAAAAAGTACAACTTTGATATTTTTTATTTATTTGGGACACTCTGTATCTTGTAAAAATATTTTTAAATTGTAGCTCTCATAGTCCTTCAACGAACCCAGAACTTACAATTTGTAAAAATCTAGTCGTTTAGCTACAATACTCCGTGTCGTATGTGGTGAACAACCCTGTAGAAACAAAATATTTTATGTGGGAAGATATGTGCGCCACCCTGTATAAAATTGGGGAATTAAGGGGAATGTCATTTCCAAGCCAACTGGACGCCGTTTTTTTGATCATCTATCACGGTATTCGTCTATTACTGATAAAATTTAAAATTATATATTATACAAAGTGTTTTCAATGGCGATAAGGCTTCAAATAAAATAAAAGTATCCTAACCCAAATTTCTACATTATGTAAAAGATAACAAGAGACTTTTAGGATTTGCCGTTATGGTAGTTGATCGCATAACATAATATTGTCATTTAAAAAAACATTTACTTTCTTTAAAAATCAATAAAAAATAATAAATCTATAATTCATCCTGCTAATAAATTCAATTATTGCCTGTATTAGGTATAGAAATAATTACTTGAATGTTTATTAGAGGACTCGGCAAAAAAATGGGATTTACTATATAGGGTGAGTCTTAAATAAGTGCAAACATTTTTAGGGCTGGTAGATCTGGACATCTGCATTAAAGGAATATATTTTTTCTTCGTCGTTTTTATTGTCCGTGTGTTATTCGATTTTGAAAATTTAAAAAAATGAAAGATGCCTAGGTTTAAAAACCGCTGTATTTTTAAGCTTTTTCTCTCTCTACAATATTTTTTTCAACAATTTCTCCCTCTATGATAATATAAAAAATATATTATCACAAGTTATGTTTTTTGACAAACAAATAGAATTTTTTCAATTCATTTATTATTGAATTATTACATTAATTATTATTACATTAATGTTTACTAAGCAATATTAACCAAAATAAATTTGACTTATTTATACTCGTATTACTAACCTTACTCACTTTTGTAAATTATCTCAATTTTTCTGTTCTTTATTGATGCAAACTTATCAGTAATATCGTCATTTAATTAATTATATTTATTAAAGCCTATTTAAACGAACAATTTTCATTAAATAGAGTCTAACGCTTTTTTCTAAAGCATCGGCTATTGTATTTTGATTTGTTTTTTAATTTCTTAGCATTAACTGGCATTTTAAATATTCTGCAGAATCCCCGTGTTCATGCAAAGATCTTGTTATATTTACGAAATCAGTGAACACTTCTTTATTCCAAATGCCATGTTTATTAGAAAATAGTAAACACAACCAACAAAATATTTTTTGTAAAACCATACTACTTCATAGCCAATTAAAATCAGAAAACCAGGAAGACTTAAATTTAATATTATAAGATTTACCACTTTTTCTTATTTCTTTTTTGGGTAATTATTGGGAAAACTGGAAATCGTCCGATTTTCACCAAAATTGGTATACACCCTATTTTGAGGTCGTAGATTACGAATCTTTTTTTCTGGCGGTCTCTTACCATTTTTCAGAAAAACGAAAATTTATTTCAACGTCAAATTTTTCTTAATTTCTCATATTTTTAAGGTTTTCTAGCACATATTTTGTTAGGTATTCAATAAACAATGATGTTTTTGCTATTTTGTGTTACTTTTTTAACCAATTCTATGCATAAAAGTGGAAAATTTGCTAAAATAAATTTGTAAACAGTGTGAAAATGTTGGGTTATGTGTTTCTGGCATTTAAAGCAACGTTGCCAATGCTAAACCTAAATTCAGCGTGTTTTTTTCGCTCATTCTGGGATTACGAAAGGCGGTCGCCAGAAGAACGGCTCCTTTCCATAACTGCTATTTTACCAACGAGATCTGACTATTTATAACCACGAAGTTGCACGAACGAGTTTTGATTGCATTGGTTACAACTTCCATGCGGAAGGTGTTAATCTTTTGTTGTTGTATTATCCCAAAAAAAAATTAACCCCCTCCGCAAAGAAGTTGAAACCAATGCAATCAAAACTCTTTCGTGCAACTTCGTGGTTATAAATAGTCTTTATATAACCTCTTTGCGGAGGGGGTTAATCTTTTTTTGGTATAATATAACAATAAAAGATTATTATTCAACAACTATTCTTATTGTATTCATTTTATTATCCTGTGGCCATAAAGTGTAAAACTGTACTTTTAAAAGTTAGTAGAAAGGCTTGATAGGTAAGATTGTACTATATATATAAAATTTTCCCCCTGCTAAGTAAATGTATAGTATTTTAGATACCAAGAATAAAGAATTTTCGGAGTGTTTTTCGAAGAGTTTTCTTTGACTTGAGCGAACCCCTAACCCCTTATAAGAGTTTTGTTACAACACCCTCCGCATAGAAGTTGAAACCAATGCAATCAAAACTCTTCCGCGTAACTTTGTGGATATAGGCAGGTATATTTAACTATTATTGTCAGATCTCATAATAGGTAATTTATTTAAAATGCCTAATCACCCAAAAAAATAGAAGATATGGCAACGTTGTAAATTTTCAAATTTCTAGATTAGGTCTAGAATATAATGTCTTTCTCATTATATAGGAGAGAGAAAGAAGGATATATGAAATATCAAATTTCCATCTGGTCTCAATTTTCTTTGTTATTTTGTTAAGAAAAGAGTTTTTCAGTAAAATTTTGGACATTTTTCTATCTTCAATATTGAAATTATTTTCCGTTTTTCTGAAAAACGGTAAGAGACCGCCAAGAAAAAAAGTTCAGATTCGTAATCTACGACCTGAAAATAGGGCGTATACCAATTTTGGCGAAAATCGGACGATTTTCGGTTTTCTCAATAATTACCCTTTTTTGCAATTTATGGTTAAAGTTTCAGTTGGTCGCCTTTGAGATAAAAGATAAAACATCCCTCTTATCTTCATCTGTCCACCGTCTGAAGGGAGTTTCCAATAAATTGCACACCAAGTCATTAATTGGGTTCATTTTTTAACACATATACACACACAAAACAGTTTTAAAACACAACAACAAAACAAACAGCAAAAATCGGCAAAAATTAACAAATTAAATCAACAAAAGCCATTACCAAACAACAATAAATAACAACAACTTTACAATTTTTACACGGTTAATTACTCGCCGAAGTAGCCGAATATTATATGCTGTATGCATTATTATTTGGACATCGTTTGTTATATTCATAAACAACTTTTATATATTTATAGTTTTTTATTCTTTTTTTATTCCTTAAGTTTGTTATATATATTTTAATTTTTCTGGTATTCTCAGCAAATTAAGATGATTACTTAAAAATTCCCTAAAATCATCTTCGGTTTTTCCCCTTTAATTGTATTTTTTACGACTCACCCTGTTTTGTGAAAAAGTAAAGTGTTTTGGTGTATTGTGGTGAATTGTGTTTTATTTTGCTGTTTTAACACCAAAGGTGTAATCGCCCTGTAGGTATCACTGTAATCGCCTTGTAGGCTCAACTGTAATCGACCTGTAGGTATAGTTTATATAACAAAAAGTTTCTTTCAATATACGCGGTTAGGTTCAAGGAACATATGTATGTAACCTCCGTGTAAAACGAGTAACTCTTGTATATTAAAATTTTCTATGCTGCATGCATACAGGGTGAATCAATATTGGATGTTTATTATATTATGTTTTAATAATTTATTTCTTTTTCGGAACAGGTGATCCGGTGATTATCTTAGGAGCATTCAGCATACTATGATTTTCTAGTACCGGTACAACTAGGGAACTGTTCCGTAGAGGGGTCGGTCCGCCGAGTAGCGAGCGGCTCCAAGTTACCACCGTCGCCCGCCGTCGCCGGTGAAATCGAAAGAAAAACAGTTGCTTCACTTACTTGCCAGTGCCAGTTGCCTATCGGCCTTTGTAATGATAGCGTTCGCGCGACGCGCTGTCTTAAATTTACCCGCCAACTCGTCGATCTCGCATATTATGACTTAACTTTGTTTAATCCGACTTTAAAATGACTACCGTTTTCAGAAAACTCTTGTATCTCGAACTCGTCTGTTTAGTTTTCTTGTTATTTAGTGGTCGTGTTAAAGCCGCGAAAAAAAACGTGACTATCGGAAAGTGTTGTGCTCTTGACGAGATCCTGACCTACGAACAAAAGTGCATCAAGTCATACAACAGCTCCTGGAATCTGAATGTGTTTTATAACGGTTCCTTAACGCCGTACAAAGGAAAACTTCCCCCTAAATGGGTGCTGAAAGAGAATTTTCAGCCCAAATGTGCCAAACCGGTAATAGATGCGTTGTCTAATCGCAGATTCGTACCCAATATGCTTGGCGTCGCCTTGTTGGTGGAGTACGATCAAAAAATAACTCCAAGTCAGTATTGTATCGATTACAATTATTCGCTGTTTTGCCCGAATAATTCACCAGATGGAGAGCCTTCAGTATTAGTGAAGAAATGTTGCGGTACAGACTGGATCTATTCAGAAAGGGAGGCAAAATGCATCTCCTGGAAGAACTCTTCTTATAATATAGAAGTCGGCCCGAACACAAATCTGGGTATCGGTTTTCCTATTTGTACTGGTACAAATCAAGTGGTAGCCGGAAAAATTAACCAAGGACAAGTACTACCTAACGGTACTCTGTGGATGAATTCCAGCGGGGTGTCGATACCAGCGGGCAATTTTTGTTTGGAATTTATACTGGAACAACTAGGTAAGCTAATTTTCTTGTAAACAAAATAACAATTAATATTTTATTACCAGTCTATCGAGGCTAGAACGATGTTATAAAGTTGTGAAAGTAAACACGTAACCTTGCGTTGCATTCCAAAGTACCTACCAGCTCTAGACAGGTACAAAAAACATTTTTTGTCTTGTGTATTCGAACGGTGATTCAGCTGGACGATTTAAAAAACAGCTGATGCGACATGTGGTTAAACTACATTCATTTACATACCTATTTCAGGGCCTGAAAATTTTGTTTGTATCTGTTTTATTGAGCCTATTGACCCATATGTTTTAAAGAATTTTTGCTATTTTTACTGTTTTTAAAAGAGTTATCATTATTTTCTGCAAGACAAAATTATGACCGCTGCATGTTGTAATAATGTTAATCCGAGTGTGAATTACCTATAACTTTACGATTTGATAGTGATTTACCTAATGAATTGCAAAATTGCCAATTACTTATCTATTAAAAATACTTTTTGATATATTTAGAAACTATAGTTACATACAGGGATATTTTCTTTGAGTTTCTTCTGTAGTCACTAAATAGATACTAAGTATGTGCCATTTTTAGATGTGGAATGTGAGTCATTATATCACTTAAGATATTTAGCAATGTTAAGCAAATTAAAGATAATTTCCTCAAAGTGGTTTAAACATTTGATATCGGAAAAAAAATTATGTGAAATTTCGTCAAAAATTCCATGCTTTATTACAATAATATGTAATATTAAGGACATTTTCCTCCACAAAGAGTTTTATGATGTAGATATTTAACTCGAATTTATCGAGGATTTTATTGAATTTTAAAATCGGAATTGTGGAAGTTGTACTAGGTATATAAATGTCTGTGTATGTATCCTATAGCTTAACAGTTCAAAAAAGTTAACAATAATGGGTAGTTTAGTTTTTAAGTTTTTTTTAACATCTGCAACACATTATAGATATTAAAATTTTATATATGCTGCAACTGCTGCAACTACACATACCTACTCTTTCTACGGTACTCAATTATCTAATTCTTTATCCAGTTCTTAAAAAATCTAAAAGAATTATTTTTTTAAGATGGCTCACCTCACACCCTTTAGTAAAAAATGCTTTTCTCAAATATGCTAATGAGCCACCCTTGTTCCATTTGAAAAAATTGAGACATGATTAAAAAAATATGATTTGGGCATTTTTTAAGACGATCAAATACATTTTTCTGAGGCATCTTTATTAAAAATTAGTGTTTTTAACACAGCCATGACATTTTAGATTGAAATTTAAAATACGATTGTTTAAGCGAAAATGTCAAAAATTGTCATATGATAAGTATGCCAGAGTGTCATTTTCTATCGAATAAAGTAAAAAAAAAATACCGAGGGAAGTGCCATTAAAAAACATAAAAAGTTGTTGTCCGTTTGCGGTAAAACTGGAAGTGGCAAAAAAACAATTGAATACGTCAATCAATCCTAATTTATGTCATGTACCAACAAACCAAATATCGTTTTTTATCAGAAAAAATAATAAAGTTATAGGGGTAAACCACTCTTGAGAAACACCCGGTATATTATTGATCGTGGCGCTAGAAAATAATACCTTCTCTATAAATCAATAATATTAGAGAGAAAATTCAGTCGCAATTTACTATAAAATGCTTCAATCGACCACAAAATTACATTCGCAACAATATTGCAAATCGCAACTCCTAAAAATGCCAACTCGCAGATATAAGATGATATAAGGTTATCAAGGTCCTAGTTTACAAAATCACAATCGCAGCAAAATCGCAAATCGCAGAAAATCGCAAATCGCAACTATAGTAATATTGGTTGCTTAAATTGAAACACGCAAATAGAAGAAATCGCAATCGCAGTTTCCTATGAGAGCCAATCGCAGGTTGCGATTTTAAAATCGCTGCGATTGAATCGCAGTTTGCGCTTTTTTGCTCATTTCTACTTCATACTTGAGTTTGGGTAAATATGCGAGTAGTCGGACATACACCAGTGGTCACACACAAAGTATTTATTGGAAAATAAGTTAAAAAATGGCTTAGTATTGATTCAAATAATTAAAAACCTAATTCTACCGATTCTTTAGCTTCGTTCTATAACATTTTCTTTGCGTAAATTGTCACTTTTATTTTGGCTTTTGTGACCAATAAGCGACCTTTGTTTTCTTCTAATACAGCCGTGAACGCGAAGTGGAGTAAATAGCCTCCAAAACGTCGGCGAGTAGCAATTTTGTGTTCTTTGGTTGTTGACCACTCTACCTTTACATAAAAGTCCCACCACAGATTAAAGTTTGGTTAATGGCACCGTTAATCTTCCGACTTTAATTGATAAACTTTAATTTGCGTTTTTCTCAGAATTAACTTTTATGTAATGACGATATTTTGCTCATGTACCTTTCAAATTATTAATTTTTTAATTTAATAATTTATTTACTTCAAATTATTATTATTATTTTTTATGAATTATTAGCTTTTTAATAAGATCTACCAACATTTCTGTCATCTAAACTAACCCTTAACATTTCAAGGTATAATATGTCTCCCGTCGTTCTAAGCAAAGAACTATTTAAAATACCCAAATCTAAAGAATTACTTAATTATAATTAATCCAAAATGCTTTTATTATTTTTTTAAGGAATGTTTACGCATTTCGAGCGTTTACCAGTTTCGATGTTTAACAGTCACTTGAACGAGTCGATTAAATGGCTATTCTGAAAATCTCTGCAAAAATAGACAAAATGCAGCAATGAACATCAAATACCCCGAGAAATGCCCTGCCTAAATCATAGACAAGTTGAATGCGGACATATTTACTATCGTGAACTTTTAAGCTTCTGAAAATTAATCAGTGACTGTACCAGTTTGGGGACGAAAAACGTTTAGGATATCCTAAAATTACAACTACTGATGGCAATATTGCTCAAGTTCACAAAATGGAGCTATAGACAACCGTCGAATTAAATCATCTTATAGGTGCCTCTCCTATATAGATCATGTTTAAAGAACCTCTCAGGCACGCACGGAACCAAATCAATTTGGCCTGAAAAAGATGTCCCTCTGGATGAAAGAGATCTCTTTTTTATGAGACCCTACTTTTATGAAATTTAATTAAATTAGTATCTCATTTTTATCATTAAATTAGTATCTCAAAGCGGAATCTGGAAGCCTCCATCCGTAACTTGGAATGGGTGTCCTCTAGCGGTCTAAGACACTCGAAAAAGTTCCTCAGAACTTACGACCGAGAGAAATCAAAGGTTTTCCTTGAGTTAAGCAAAAACAATCTTTGGATTGTCACGTGGTTTTTAACAGGACACTGTCTCCAACGAACACCTTAGTAGGCTGAAGTTGAGAAACAACGGCAAATGCAGATTCTGTGGGGAAAATCGGGAAACACCAGAACACCTTATCATTGAGTGTGCCGAGACGACGACCATTCGTGCCATGAACTTTGGTACGGCTGATGTCGAGGATGAAGAGATCTCTGTGGAGCCGTCTCAGATACTGGCTTTTGTTAAAGCCTTGAGACTGTATGATGAGTTATAAATCGTTATAACTCAAGAAAGGGGAACACACAATAGATCTGTAAGGTCGCGGTGATTAACTCCCCTCCTAAACATTCTACATAGTTCACTCATTGGGGATCAACACACAATAGATCTGTAAGGTCGCGGTGATTAAGTCCCCTCCTAAACATTCTATATAGTTCAGTCATTGGGGATCAAAATTCAGTCATTGGGGACCTAAAAGGGGCCTGCTTGGAAAAAAGTCCGGAAGTTTTGAAACTTTGCAGGTTTATAGGTTTTGGGGTCCCTAACTAAAATCCATAAAATGCACATTTCCAGACTTGCTGCCGGCGCCCAAAATCGGTATTTTGTAAATATCTCGAAAACTATGCGTTTTTCGCAAAAATTTGAAGAGGGCAAAATTAAAGAGAATAAAATTTCCTATAAAAACGGTTATATGAAAATTTTCGCTAAAGTCAACCGTTTAGGCACAAAACCCCTGGAAATTTTACAATTTTCCGTAAAGTATGATATACAGGGTGTCCCAGAAATGAGTGCAGATATTTTCACTGGTAGTATAGTTCATCCCCAGAAACACGCCTATGAGGTTTTTTTTGCGAAAAAAAATGTTGAAAATTTTATATTTTTCTTGACATTTTCCGGAAAATGTTGAAAAACTTTTGAGTGCCACTGTTCACTCCCCGGGAAATTCGTTTACCGGGCATAGAGAGTGTCGGAATTAATGTTTATCTATAAATTCAATTATTTTAAGTTGCTACAGAAAAAATACGAAAATTAATTTTATTCATATTAGTGTAGATTGCTTTACTAATTCTAGAGAAACGCGCAATATTTTAAATACTTTTTACAGTGGAGAACTATAAAATTTGCTATATTTTTTACTTAAATTTTTTTAGTAATATCAGAACATGTTTTGAATAGTTTAATTAGTAATAAAGCTACTAACATGTTCAGTTATTTTTTTTTCTATAAAGCTTTTTTGATAAACCTGCTAAGGCGTTAAATTGCCTGAGAAATTACGATCGATGCCATTTACCATCCACTTTTACACAATAAAATGCCATCGATCGTAATTTCAAAAGCAGAAAACTTGCCGCCGTTTTTTCCAATGAAATGGGCGGTGGGGAGAAAATTACAGATTCCTGTATTATATTAACGACCAACGACATTATTAATCGCATGTACACAAAGCATGTACACTATTAGAAATCGATCTACTTTCTAATATTATCGATCTTTTAAAATTCGAGAAAGTGATCGGAGATTGTGTTTAAAGTGTTGTGAAATGTTCGTTAGTGCATATTTTTGTGTCGGTAATCGGTATCGGTATAGGCAAATCGTGATGGAGTATACAAATCTGGAGAAGGTGGATATGCTAAGAGCATAGGTACTTTCTGGCAGGGAAAAGCGCTGTAGAAGCTCGGAGACTTTATTCCGAAGAGTATCCGAATAGACAAATCCCTAATG